TTTAGAACCATTTAAAAAAAATCCGTGTGCGTTACTAAACAGTATCAGTGGTAAGTAAATGAATAAAAAATTGATCATCGTATCATCGTTGGCCGAATGTGAGATAAATACCATAGAAAAGTATGTATCACTCTAAAACCGGATGTTTAAATAGTAAAATACGTTCCGGAACGTTTTCAAAAAAAATATTTATGATAATTATTATTATTTGACTAATTTAATTGGCTTTTTATATTTTATTAAATTTGTGAATCCTGCGTATGGCATTATGAAAAAAAAAATTGTATTTTATGCATTAAAAAAATAATTATTAGTTAATAAACGTTGTATACTTGTATACTTTTATGCTGTACATTTATGGCCCAATCTCCGGGTAGTAAAATGTAAACAAATATTTTATACAAAGCAGGTAAATAAAATGTGGTCCAATTACCGACCGCCCAAAAGTCCAAGTCTAGTCTCTCGGTATTTCTTGAACTTCATTAGTCCGGTACGATATACGGAAGAAATGATCGGATAAAATTCTAATACATTCTAGGGTCAATGCTCCATTTCAACATCACTCAATAAAATGCGTAAACGTGTTGGCTACTTCTCTTCGGAGATATTGTTAAATGCCCTTTTTTAAAACTATACCTATAGTAAATCATCACAACAAAAACAACTAATTGGTTTTATTATCGACAATGATGTTGAAGGTGTTCTTTATGATTACAATGGTGTTTATCGAATATAAACGAGCATTTTCAATATTATGAACTGAACCGGGATCCTCATAGTATCTATATTTTATAAAGTGGCCACGCGCTTACCGCACGGACGAGCACCTATAGATATCGAATGAAAAGCGGAATCGGTGGCGGGGGTGGCCAAGAGACGCGGATTGATTTGGCCTTTTATTCTTGTTTTTTCGTTGCCTAAGCACAAATACGAAAAGCACTTTTCCAAACGAATTCGAGTGGAGATCGTCGTCACGTAAGAAAACGGTTACGCATACGCAACGTCGTAGCCAATCGGTGTGTTGCCCGATGGGACCGATCATTGCTCCCTTGGCAATTGACGACTCGTGATGGGATTTCCAACGTGAAAATTTGAATCAATCAAAAGTAACCTCAATACTGAAAATTTTTCGAAATCTCTCATTTAGAATCCAAAGAGGAGATTACAAACTGTATTAAATATTAATCTTACGTAATATCAGTTATAATCATTAAATACCGAAACATTTTGTTTTTTTTTTATTTTATAGTGTTCCCCTCCCTAAAATGGCGTTTACTCTCCCTGACAATGTGGTCTGGTATTCTGGCTGCGGCCAATTACATGCTAACATCACTGGCGAACACCGAGAAAAGTCACAAATAATTGGTGAATCACTGAAGCACAAGTTTTTTTTTTACTTTAAATATTTCTCCGTTGGCAATGTGGTTAATGGAAATTTCACAAAAAATCATTATTTAATATATTAATTTTTTCTTCTTCTTTATATGTGGCGATAAAAACGTTATGAGTATCAATATGTATAGAAAATTACAATAAAGGATATTTGTAGTCATCGACGAACGATATAACAAATGCAACGATATTATTTAAATACGTGTAAATATTCGCTATTGTTAACACTTTTCAAATGTATTTGAAATGTTTTATAAATCATTCGATAGTGAATTTTATGAACGATTTTACAGTAATATTGACAACGCTGTATACAAGTAGTATTTACAATTATTTTTGTATTTTTAATATGTGTAACTACGTAATTATTTCAATTGCAAAAAATAGTTCTGTAGAAACTGATTTAACCCTTTGTCGACCGACGGTACTCATAAGTCCACTAAAATAAAATACGTATAAAATATTAGTGAACAATATATTTGTGATTCTCACTGGTCGGTATTTAAGAGTACCATCTACCGATTAAATAAACATTATTTTAAAATTGGTTGTGCTATTATTAAACATTTTATCGACGATTAATTTCGGGGACTGCAGTATTCAACACATGTATATGACTTGGTGTTTTTCCTTTCTATTTATATATACATATTTTGTAATTTGATCAAAATAAATAGTTTTGTATGTTTAGATATATGTCTAGGTGTATTATATTGTTCGGTTAGCTCGAATTCATTATCGATATAACGAAACACTGACAAATAATAATATGGACTTATAAATACCATTGGTATATCACAGGAGAAATTTAGTCTGTTCTCAACTCGTCTTTGTCGTGTCGTGTTGCTAACTACCGTCGTGCTTGTGAAATCGTTTTTTTTTACGTACTATATAAATAATTTTAACAACAGCCCGAATTATTTAACCATAATTACTATTATTTTTTAAAATTTCAAATAATAATGACAATGTGTTACTTCAGTGGTTAAATGAAGACAAATATGGAATCATAATTTTTTTCAAATTATTCAACTAACACATAATTCAAAATTGTACCATTCATTCTCACAAAAAAATAAAAAATGTATAACAAATAACAATATAAAAAAAAATTATATTCAACCAACAAAATAATTAATGTGGTGTTGACCTGATAATATTGCATTTTTCAGACTAAAATACTTAATTTACACCTTAGAGCTATTGAGGTTTTTAATTTAGAATTAAATATTTTAAAAAAAATTGTAATACTTATTTTTACAAAAAAATATTATTTAATATTTAAATAAGAGAAGAAATCATTTTTTCTCTAGTTGTAAATTAATATTGTATGTTCCACATGTTAAAAAAATATGGCAAAATGACTGTTGGTACTTCGAAGTACCAATAAAAAAAATGTCTAGATGACCAATGGTACTTCCAAGTACCAGGGTCCTAAGTAAAATTTGAGTAAGAAAACAAAAAAAACGAAAAAAAATTAGTCTTATATAGGTCAAATATAACATGTTTATGCAAAAAAAAAATTTAAAAAATATCTTAATTCGATGCTTGGTCGACAAAGGGTTAAACTATCTAAAATAATATATCTAGAATAAAAAGACAGCTGTAATTATAAGTAATGTTATGGTTGTTGTCTTTATTATACTTTTGTAATATTTAGTGACTATGACGTCAACTGGATAAAAAATTTATCAATATCATTATTTATCAATTATTATTATTTTATTAAATTGTCATCTTTAATAATACAATTTATATTATAACTGACCAAGCTTGGGAAATGCTGTTATAGTTGAGGTTAACTTGATTGTTTCCAACATAATGGTACCCAAATTTAATTTAAATTTTAAACATTGATAGCTTGATCGATAAATGCCTATTTATTTATTCCACAGTATAAAATAAGTTGAAATAATATACTAAGTACCTATAGTATAATAAGAGTAAGTGATAAAAAAATCTTTATATTTATTCGGTTTTTCAACTTGGAAGGTGGCATGAAAAATAAGTTTCATTTTTTAGACGTAATTCCGACACTTCATATTTTTGTTCCTCAGCAATACGATTTCGTAACAATTAGTTATAAATGTATAATTTATGAGGACGAAAAAAAATCATGATATCATTGAATGGCAAACTGTATTGCCAGATATATTTTGTTTACTGACAAAGAGATTTTGAAGACAGTATTAAACGAAACAATTTAAACGATCCAAATGCAAAATGAGCGATACTATAGTTCCCGTGAAAAATGATTTTTGTAAAAAAAAAAAAAAAAATGTGCTTACAAACGGGATTATCATGTGACGCGTATATTCGTAAAACTTGTTGAATCGTCTCGGTGAAATTTTCGACTAGGTTGTCAAAAAGGGTTTATAGTTAGCAAACGGTTTGTCAAGTCTGAAACCCATGAAAAATGTATATCTTTGGCGACCGAAAACCGATAGCATAGATGCAATTTAGATCCACCTGCAAATATCGCTTTTAAAATAAGTTATACCATGAAAAATATTCATGTTTCTGTATGCGTGATAATATGATTTTTCTCATTAGAAACTAAATGTAAATTCTAATCCGAGTTTTATGAACCTTCGTTTTGTGTTAATACTTATGAAATAAATTAATGCGGTACGTATAATTAATCACACCTATTTTATTGAACATATGTATTAAATATGGCTTATTTACATGCGAACAATTCGTAGCTTAAACGGTTAGTAAAAGTTACGTGTGTAACGTGATAGTTTTGTACTGTAATTGTTTTTATTTTGAATTTTATCTGGTCATTAAACACACAATAATTTATATTAACTATCGTCAAACTGAAAGCTTTTTACCCAGTCTGTAATCAAAAAATCAAGAAATAATTTTTTTATAAGCGTTTACTTGATTTTTATGAGTTTGTAAACACATCACCGATAAGAAGTTTAACTCAACGGCGAGAAAGAATTTCATTGTGAAACTGATGAACTTCCACTCATTCTTAGTGAAGTATTCGAATATAAGTGTTTTAATACTATTTCTATTTGAATACCATTTTAAATAAATAATAAAAATATATTCGAATACGTATTTTATTTTATATTTAAACACTTAATCCTGAGAACAATTATTTTGTGTTTACAAACAAATCATAATCCTGGATAATGGCCTAAATAAACTATAGCATGAGCACGAAACACGCAATTATTGGTAATAGTAATCCATACCCTTCGATCGCACGTGATAACCTGTCGGTCAATAGACGAACGCACAGGATGTGATCGTTAAGAACGCGTCCGTCGTGGGCGATGTACGATGAGGGGGGGGGGGGATGGGCGAAGGTTGTCCTTCAACACAGGAGTTTGCGAACGGTTCGTTTTCGCGCTAGCGCCTTGGCGCTCCGTAAACACCTGTCGCCCGTGTACCGTGCCACGCGCTCCGGAACACGTTCGCGACGTGCGCACGCGCGCGCCTTCACGCGTTACGTTCGTCCCGCTCGGACCGGCCGAGAGTGGAGGGACGTGGGACGGGCCGAGTGGAGGGACGTCGTGAAACCGGCCGGAGTAGGAGCGACGGACGGACCGGGATTACGGAGGACCGCAGACGGCACGTCGTCAGCTCGACCCGTGGCTACCGACCAGTGCAGCTTCGATCGTTCTCGCGAACAGACCGACCGAGCTCCATCACCGATCGATCGCAGCAGCCCACGCGACCCAACCGAACGCATACGTGTACCGTTCGTCGTCGTCCGCGTGTACAGTAAACAGCAGCAGCGCACGTACACGCCGCACACGTCTCGACAATGGCTGGACAACCGGCCGCGCGTTTGTACCTCTGCGCGGCACTGGCGATCGTCGCGATCGCGTTCGCCGTGGCCGCGGACCCGACGACACCGCAGCCGCGTAACGAGAAGATGTCCGCCGACATTGCCAATCCGCCGGAAGACTCGTTGAGACATCGGACCCATCGAGCACTCGGTGCCGACGTTGTGCACTTTTTCGGCCAGAAACCCGAGTCAATGTTCATCGCGACCGGTGGCGACGGTTCGAGTGGCAAGCCGCAGGGAAAGCCGAATAACAACGCACTGAGGTGGGAAGCGATCGGGGCGAAATCGACTACGAAAAAACCGCACCCGTGGAACACGCCGAGGAAATTGGTGGACGGACCTGTCCGACATGCGGTTGCCGAGACGGAGGCGCCTACTCCCAAGCCGCAGGAAAAGCCGAATGACAATGAGCTGAAGTGGGAGGCGATCGGGGCGAAATCGACTACGAAAAAACCGCACCCGTGGAACACGCCGAGGAAATTGGTGGACGGACGTGTCCGACGTGCGGTGGCCGCAACGACGGAGGAGCCTACCACCACGGGTTTTCCGTTTTTTTTGCCAGGCCAAACTTATAACCCGTTCAAGATCTTTAACAGTACAAATTCCCCGTTTCCCGGCTCCTGGCGGGCCCTGCATCAAACGTTCCTGAAGTCGGAGTCGAGCACGCGCAAGGCCACCGTGGAGACCACCACCCATGACCGGTCCATCATCACGGCCCCGCTGAAGACGTGCCCCGAAGGACAACGGATGGGCCCGAACCGGAACTGCGTGGACAACTATACCGACCCCGAGGGCTCGGACTGACCGGGGACGACGTACGTCACTTCGTCCGCCGCGACGTATACAACAATTCATTATTCGTTCATTTTTACCGGCATAGCCGTGTCGATTAATATAAATCAT